TTGTTCAAAACAATCATGTTGTCTCTTTAGCTCCTCCAACTCCTGTATTACCTACAGCCCCACCAGCGCCTATTTTAACGGTAGTTGACCCTCGTAAGCAAGTTTTTGTGTCTCGACTTCGTCGGACAACACTTCTGAGTCATTGGCAGCCTATATTGCTAGCAAATCTTCTGCTAGCGTGTCAATAACCAAATTAAATTTATCCACCCCTCGTGAAATATCATCATTCAAAATAAATGTTTCATTTGATATGTTTCCAATTATTTGTGATCCCGAATTTTGGCCTCCACACATGATTGTTCACGAGTTCAAGCCTAAAAAGCGTAACCAGCCTGTCACCCTTCCAGTCCCTTCAATACAGGGTACCATTTCTGCCCCAAAAAACTAGCTTCAGCTTCTGACCAAATCTTTATTCATTATCAGAATGTTAGAGGTCTCATTTCAAAGCTTAAAAATCTTTTCATGGCCAGCACTTCCTTCAATTCGGATATAATAGCATTTTCAGAAACATGGTTGAACTCAAACATATCTGATTTTGAGATTTTATCTAATAATTTTATTTTGTATAGAAATGATCGGCCGACTCGAGGTGGTGGGGTGTTAATTGCCGTTAAGGCCACTCTCCAGTCTGAACTTTTCTGTTTTAGTACGCCTACTGACGCTGAGATTGTCTCAGTTCAGGTGTCTTTTCCTAGACGAAATGTCTATGTAACATGCTCTTATGTCCCACCCTCTTCTGACATTCAAGTTTATATGAAACATATTACTTGTATTAAAGAAGTTTCTTCACACGTGCGTGATAATGACCTATTTATGGTGTTGGGTGATTTTAATTTGCCCAATATCTCTTGGTCATTATTTACTGCCAAAAATGATCTAGTGCCCTCAGCACAGCACGATTTTATAGACTGCATGCTTAATCTTTCATTGTTTCAAATCAATTCAATTTCTAATCATTTGACTAGAACACTTGACCTTGTATTTGTTAACGACTACCTTATTTCTAATGTGTCTAGGTCTCCTCCTTTATCTCTTCCTGAGGATGTCTATCATCCTACTTTAGAGATTGCAATGCTCAATTGTAATACTTTCATTTCGAGCTTATCAGCCAATAAGCCCCGTTGTTGCTTTCGCAAAGGAAATTATTCTTTGCTGAATCAGCTTATTTATGCAACCGATTGGTCTTTCTTATATGACTCGGTTGATATGAATACTGCCATTAATTTTTTTTATAACACCCTAAACTCCATCTTAGATGTGTGTATTCCTAAGTCAATTCCTTCGACTACTTTTTCCAAACCACCCTGGTTTACTCCCAGATCATCACATCTAAAAAATGTAAAATCTAAATATTTTAAGAAGTTTAAAAAGTCTGGTTCGTGTACAGACTTGGCTAAATATTTCATAGCCAAGTTGAACTTCTTTCTTCTTAATTCTCAATGCTATGAGAATTATCTAACTCGTTGTAAAAGGCAATCTGCCCAAAATCCGAGACAGTTTTATAATTTTGTAAACTTGAAGCGTGAATCTTCAAGTTTTTTTTTCTTTTTCTTTCCTTTCGAAAATGAAAATGTCGTTTGACTCTGTGCACCATGACATTTTACTTTTTAAACTTGACCAAATAGGTTTCCCCCTGTCTCTTCTGCTTTGGATTAATTCTTATTTAAAAGGTAGGACCCAAAGAGTAATGCTGAGGCTGACTACCTCTAAACGGGTTCACGTTACTTCTGGTGTTCCTCAAGGTAGTCATCTTGGACCTTTACTCTTTACTCTTTTTATAAATGATCTCCCCTCTGTTATATCACATGCCCGCGTACTCATGTATGCGGACGATGTCAAACTTTTTCTATCATACACTAATCCCCTACATCATTCTCGTCTACAAGACGATTTGAACGCTATGCAACTATGGTGTTCGGCCAATCAATTGCATCTAAATTGTTCAAAGTGTATGTTTATGACTTTTAATCGTACTACGCCTTATCTTGTCAGTTATACAATCGACAATATCCCTTTGCAACGTATACTAACAGTTAAGGATCTAGGCGTAATTTTTGATTCTAAACTCTGTTTCAATCTTCACATAGATACCATCGTTAATGAGGCAAAAGGTGTACTTGGATTTATTAAACGATGGTCTAAAGAGTTTAACGATCCTTTTATTACAAAACTTCTGTACATCTCTCTTGTTCGCCCTATCCTTGAATACTGCTCTTGCATCTGGTCTCCACAGTATAACAATAGCCAAGATCGTATTGAATCTGTTCAGAAGCAATTTCTGCTTTTTGCCTTACGAGGTTTAAATTGGGACCCTAATCTTCGGTTGCCATCCTACTCCAGCAGACTGCTTCTTCTCAACCTTCCGTCTTTAACCAACCGTAGAACAATTCTCGGTATAGTCCTTCTACATAAGTTGATTATTGGCGACATAGATTCCCCTTTTCTGCTAGGGCGTCTTCAATTCTCTGTTCCGAATAGACCAACTACAAATTATCGCCCCTTATTCCTATCTACGTGCACAACAGACTACGCTATGCACAATCCGTTTCGCGTGCTATGTAAAAATTATAATAGTTTGCATCACGTTTTCTCTACAGAACTGTCTCTACCCCTAATAAAATCGTTGCTTTCAGGATACCTTCGGGAAGTCGCTAACCACTCCCAGCTATGAGCAGGGGCATAGCTTGCCGGACAGGCTGAAAAATTTTCCCCCACCGGGTCGGTGATTTCCCCTTACTTTTCTCTTTGTCCTATCTACTTAACACTCTTCATCTAACTTACATTGCTTTACTTTATTAACAATCTTCATACTTTCTCTTTTTTCCTATTTATTGAATTTTCTTTATTAATATAACAAATTAAGATTATTTTTAATTTTACTTGAGAACACTTTTTTCCTACTTACAACCTTCTGCTTAGAGGTAGGCTCTAATAGCGTCACTGACAAAATTAGCTGTGAAAAGGGGCACAGCTGGCCGGACTGGCAAATAAAACACCTCCATCGGTCGGTGATGCTATTTAGAAAATTGTATCTTTTAGCATATAATTCTATTATCTATTGTATAACCTATTGAATAATGAGGAAGACACTCGGTTTGTCGACCAGTAATAAATAAATAAATAAGGAAAAAAAGTTTTTAATCAAAAACCTTGTTTTCGACCGATCGTTCCTATGGCAGATATATGATATAGTACACCGATCTTAATAGAATTTTGCATATACATATATGGGGAGTATAGTGAAACTAATAAATGCCGAGTTTGGTCAAGATATCTTGAAAAACAAAAAGTTTTTTGATAAAAAAACTTAATTTTTGTCCGATCGTTCCTATGACAGCTATATGATATAAAGGTCCAATCTTAATATGATTTGGCATATATATGAGGAGTATAGTAAATCTAATAAATGCTGAGTTTGGTCAAGATATCTTGATAAACAAAATGTTTTTTGATACAAAAACTTAATTTTCGACCGATCGTTCCTATGGCAGCTAAATGATATAGTTGTCCGATAATAATAGGATTTTGCATATATTTGAGGAGTAAAGTAAAACTAATAAATGCCGAGATTGGTCAAGATATCTTGATAAACAAAATGTTTTTTGATACAACAACTTAATTTTCGACCGATGGTTCCTATGGCAACTATATGATATAGTGGTCGGATCTTAATAGGGTTTTTCATATACATGAGGAGCATGGTAAATCTAATAAATGCCGAATTTGGTCAAGATATCTTGATAAACAAAATGTTTTTTAAAACAACAACTTAATTTTCGACCGATCATTCCTATGGCAGCTATATGATATCTTAATAGGATTTTGCATATATCTGAAGAGTATAGTTAAACTAATAAATGCCGAAATTGGTCAAGATATTTTGAAAAACAAAATGTTTTTTCATACAACAACTTAATTTTCGACCGATCGTTCCTATGGCAGCTATATGATATCTTAATAGGATTTTGCATATATCTGAAGAGTATAGTTAAACTAATAAATGCCGAAATTGGTCAAGATATTTTGAAAAACAAAATGTTTTTTCATACAACAACTTAATTTTCGACCGATCGTTCCTATTGCAGCTATGTGATATAGTGGTCCGATTTTGGTGTTGGCATATGTGTTGCGTGCGACAAAAAGAATGACTTCTGCAAAGTTTCATTATGAAAGCTTTAAAACTGAGAGACTAGTTCCCATAGAAACAGACAGACGGACATGGCTATATCGACTCGGCTGTTGATACTGATCAAGAATATTAATACTTTATGGGATCGGATATGTCTCCTTCTATGCGTTACACATTGCACGACAAAATTATAATACCCTCTGCAAGGGTAAAAAAAGTTCCTTTAGCAGGGTTCGATTTCGCAACTGACCGCATTACTTGCTGTCGACTCTACACACTAGCCACACCTGCACAAAAAAACAAGTAAGAGGTTCTAGTCTGGAGCTCCCGACTCGCGGATACCCTGAACTCTCTTCTTCCAACATCAAATGCATGTATATATTCTATTTTAGAAGCTATATGTCAAGTTTGGTGACTCTAGCTCTTATTATTTGCCAAAATTTCCCAAAAAACAGGATATCGATATCGATTTTTATCGACTGCTTAGAAATGGAGTAAGTTATCGATTATCGGAAACAAAATCGATCTGCGCGGGCACTAGGAGCACCTACATCTAAAATTTCGGACAGACAGACGGACATGGCTAGATCGAATTGATGCTGATCAAGAATCTTTATACTTTATGGTTTCGGAGATGCTTGCTTCTGCCTGTTACACACATTTGCATTTTGCACAAATACAATATACCCTTTTAACCCATTTTCAATGGGTTCAGGGTATAAAAAGAATAAATACCCTTGTAGAAAATGCCCTTTCGGTTTGCAGATACAGATACATGTGAGAACCGCGAAGCTTGTAAATGCCGAGATGGATAAAAATATCTTGTAATACAGATTAACTTTAATTATAAACTAATTTGTCGAGCGATTCATCATAGTAAGCGATATGTATATTTCTGCCGGGTTTGTTCCAGATAGCTTGATAAGCAAAATGTTTTTATACGAATTCAAAAGAATTAAAAAAAATACTTACAAGTCAATTAAATTGTTAGAAAGGAAGCAATTACCCATTTCCAGTTCATGAAATTTAAATATTGCTTCGCAATTGGGCAATAAAACATCAGCGAAATAGATTCTCTTAATAACATTAGCACATGATTGGGCCAGCAACTGAAAGAAAAGAATTCTGGTTTTTAGTTCAGCAAGTAGACTCTTTTTTCTACACTAAATTCAACCACATAAAGTAAGTACTGACCACAGACCTTAGACACATCCAGACAGTCATAGGAATATTGAATATCATAGGAACGGCCATGGCATAAATTTACTAAGGACAGTTTTAATAGTAATAGCAAGGAATTTGATGATTGGGAGCTGATCAAGTTCAGACAGAATAGACTCCCAAAAAACAGACAGGGTTAAATGAAGTGACTTGGATACAATCTGAAACTGAACAATTGTACGAAACCCTATTGGTAAAAAAACAAAATGCTGATAAGCAATTAAGGAAATTAATTTTTGCAATAGAACTCGCACCCCGGTAACATATCGAGTTTTAGAATGTTACCTATGAGCACATCACACATGTCAGCTTAACAGACAAATTAGAAGAGTAAAGATATTTTGTACTTTTTGAGTAAATATATCAATCAAGTCAGTTAGAAAATTAACATTTATTCAGTTGAACATTTTTATACCCTGAACCCATTGAATGGGTATAAGCGTATATTGTATTTGTGCAAAATCCAACTGTATGTAACAGGCAGAAGGAAGCATCTCCGACCCCATAAAGTATATATATTCTTGATCACCATCAATAGCCGAGTCGATCTAGCCATGTCCATCTGTCTGTCTGTCTGTCCGTCCGTCCGTCCGTCCGTATGTATGAACGCAAGGATCTCAGAACCTATAAGAGCTAAATAAAAACAGCTAGAGTCACCAAACTTGACATATAGCTTTTAAAATAGAACATATGTATGCATTTGATGTTGGAAGGAGAGGTATCCCCTAGTCGGGAGCTCCCGACTAGAACCTCTTGTTTTCGGTTTTTTTTGTGTGCAGATCGCATTGAAAATAAGTGTTGACTGTTATTTGCGACCTATGTTTTATACCTATCGCCACCTCCCCGCTACCACCCCAGAGTTATACATCAAGTTAATAACAAAACTTTTATTGCCAATCAATTTAAGCCACAATTTAAATGCAATTGACTTTTTCAGAATACAAAAAATGTTCTATGGTACAATAAGATATACTGTAGAAAATTTCATAAAGATCGGTTAAGAAAAAACCAAAGATATATTGAATGGGGCAGCAGCTTTAAGAATTTCTGTATACATGTACACACACACACATTCATGCGAGTTATGCCCTCGACGTCACCACCCCATTTACACCAATATAATGTCGACCTCAAACCAGTTGACCTTGCAAGCCCTGTATCCGATGGACTGAAATCCAATTTAATGTAAGCACAATCCAACTCTTAAAGCTAGAAGCTCGTTGCCTATTTTAGGCTATCTATGTTCTTCGCAACTCTTTTCTGTAAATCAGACAGTGGTACAGCACGTGTTCCAGGTCTTTGTCCAGATTTGCCTAAATCTGTGAAGATACTTCTTGTATCCACTGTGTCTAGTAAAACTGCGTTAGGTTGAAGTTCGTTTCTCCTTTCCGCCTCTTGGTCCATTGCTCCAGGTTGCGAATGTGCTGTTTCATGCCTGGTCGCTGCTCCCTCCGATCTCCGGATGACGTCCATTAAGATAGCATCATCCATCGCTATCCTGCCTGAGTATATTTTCGCCATTTCCCTCGCAAAAATATCCACTGGCAGCATGTCCGCCAGTACAGTGGCTGCCTCGTCCCACACCTCCAGCATATTCTGAAATCGCCGCGGTTCGCAGATTGGGAACTGTAAATTGTGATTCCATTAGTTTTCGCTCTCACGAATCCGTCGTGTGCTGCTCTTACTTCCTAGAGCGGTGATGTGAAGGCCCAAATGGCGGCTTTTCCGCATTTACCTGCCACCCAGCCACTTCCAGCGATAGGCTTGAATGGCTCGCAGATTATTGCGACGTCAGTCTTTCTCTCCGGTGTTGATTGCGTCAGCAGGCCTAAGCAGCACAGCACAGAGCACGGGGCATCTGCCGCAAAGTGTTTGGAGCCAGCGTTCCTGTCCTTAGCCCGATGGTCCTTTCCTCCGCATCATAGGCACAGATTAGATCTGTCCAGTTCACTCTTGCAGTGTCTTGCAAGGTGTCCAAACTCGAGGCATCTGAAACATGATGTTTATCCGGGTCAATTATATAAATGCATCGACACAGACAAGTATGTGCTCGTTGCGTTTCGAACTCTTTGGAAAAGAGTTGAAAATGGTATTGGCTTGATGTCGTCATAATGATATTGTCCCTCTTTGCGACCACCTCGTTGCTTAAAAAATGCGCAGCCCACACAGGACTTTATATAGCCTTTGACATAATTTCGCATTCATAAAGGATCTGATCCCACAAGAATTTGTTGTTATATTTGCGATAGAGCCGATCTAGTTCAATGACAAACTCGTCATTTTCGGTTACTTGGCGGATTTTATATCGGTTACAAGTAGCAAATAACCAATCCGCTTCATCCATGATTGTTGTGGATATCTTTAAGCTGTCTGCTTTATCAGCTTCGTGCTTAAAATTAGAAAGAAGCTTAGCAAACTTGGAATCACTTGTTTCTGTATGCTGAACTGCTCTTTTGCCATTTGTGAAAGTAAACGTGAGGTGCGCATCGATTATAACATCCTGTCCCAGCAAGAAGTCTTCCTGTAAGATCTCATCATCGGCGATGTAAGCTTGGGCCTTAAAGATCCTTCCGTCGATCCATACATCCAAAATCTAAGATTCAGTTAGAAATCGGGTACCACCGCAAAAGCCTCTTATACGAATTGAGCATTTTTGACGATCCCCATTAATATACTGAGCAACCGACTTGCGAACCATACTCACTAGGCTACCAGTATCTATAAAAGCGACGTACGGTTGTTTTTGGACGATTATCTGCTTAGAGAACCGTTTGTCTCTATTTATGGCACCAAGACGATTTACATTTACTTCAGCTGACTTGCACTTGACGTTACTCGGGTGGAATTTGTTGCAGTTGGTACAGCGCTGAAATTTCGGTTCTTTTGGACACTGATTTGCAAAGTAGGTCACTCGTTGCAATTATAACATTTGAGTGTTGCCTTTGGTTGTCTTTGTCTTTGAATCTTTCTCAGGCCTTTGTTCAACGTTGCTATACCTTAGAGCTGTGCTGTCTCTGACTTCATGTTGTCTACCTCGATTGGCAAAATATGATTCCGCCGTTTCTCGCACCTGCTTCATTGTTGAGAAGTGTTCACGGTGCTGAAGACCTGATCGTGTGTATCGTATTACAGCGGCCTCACTAAGATTATATCGAACTCCCAGGGCGGACATACGAAAACAATATTCCTTTATTGTCTCTTTTGGACGTCTAATCGATTTAGCCATGGCGTAATGGATTTCTGCTTCATCTGGTGTATCACCAAATTCGTCGCGAAGTGCGTCTGCAAAGTCGTGCCGTGTCGTATGGAGTCTTGGCGAAGAGTCAAACCACATTCTGGCTGGACCTTTGAGTCGAGTGTAGATTGCGAACATTAAAAACTTTTCGTCCCATTGATATGCCTCAACCACTTTGTTGACACGATCAATGAACTGATTGACTGAAATGGCATTCTCATCTGTCGGGTCAAACTCAGGCAACGTGTTAGCAATTTCCTTGACCGAAGCTTGACGTGTGGCTGTGCTTTGTTGATACTCATCAAAAGTTGTTTATAGCCGGTTGCGAACTCGACATTTGTCTACTAGCACTAGCGCATTGCATGTTTATTAACTGACTCATAATTTCGCTTAACCCTTTTATTTCATTCTGTAGCTGATAAAGTGATCCTCCCTCTTCTCCATGGCTTTGCCGAGGGGTATGTGGCATTTCAACTTCATCTGAGCCTTCATGCTCTTGTAATCGACGAATTAATTCATCCCGTGTGCCACTTGTCGTTGCGTGTAGGCGAACACTGCATATCTATGTACATACATATATCTATCTATCCCACTTCTGAACTGTAAGAATCGGTCAGGTCGACTGAGTGAGATACGCTTATACAAACATAAGTAAAGATAGAATAGTTTAATGCGTTAACTTCACAAAGATTTGCTTATATCTTAGATTCTTATTAAGCGTCCGTTTTCCTTCTTTATTGGCTTGCTGCTTTTTCTCTAGTGATGCTTAACTCGATACTTCTTCGCCTAATTATCGATTCGCTGTGAATGGCAATGGGTTGAGATTGCCAGACGCTTACACAGCCTACTTTCAGGAAACCTACTAAAAGGGTTTTCTTTCGCGCTTTCCGCTGTCTGCCTTTTGGAGGTTAATATTTTGTGGGGCTATGTCCAATATTTGGATTTGACCACTCAATAGACACTGGTCGGTCAGCGGCTCATTGCATTTTCACCTAGCGTTTCCCGAATTGCCAAGCTGAAGAAGCAGTTCTCATTTTGTGTGTGTGTGTGTGTTTGTGCTGGGAAACAATTGTTACTTTTTTGTTCAATTTGTTTTTTTTTTTTTGTAATTTGTTTGTTTTTTTTTTCAGTTTATTAGTTTGATAAGCATAATGAGATCTAATATTATATGTCTCTTAATGTTCGCCAGGTCTGAGACAATGTGTAAGTTGAATTAGTTCAGTCTTCTTGTGGGTGGTGTTTGTATCAGTTGTCTTTCAGCTGCGTTGGGCAGTTTTTTTTGTTTAATTAAAAATTTCCCATTTTTCTGTTCCATTGGCAAGTGTCCGTTTCCGGTAACTTGTTAGTGGCAAAAGTATCGCTTCTTTAAATAAATAGCTGACAGTGGCTTGTGATCGCGGCAGAACGTCAATTAAATTAATTATTACAGAAACTATATCATATGACACTGCACGTACATTGTCACTTTAAAATACTTTGTAAATATCCTAAAAAGTTACATCACCAATCATCCATGTTCTTTGCCATCACTATTCTACTAAAACAGCAGCTTAAAATACACGCACAGAACTTAAACATTGGTGAAATCGATATGATTTTTTTTCACTCTGTTCTTTATCGTTTCGAACGTCGCTGTCTTGGCCGTCTTTATTA